TAAATGAACATCCCTGTGATGGAGGTATGCAAACCCCACACTGTGTGACAAGGGGTTAAGGAACTATTCTGAGCCCAGCCAGCCCCGCCCTGCCCCACCTGTAGTAAGTGCACCAACTGGAGTTGGAGTTAAAAAGCCGGGGAGCAGTTCATTTGGGGGCAGACCAGGATAGGGTGACCAGACAGCAAGTGTGAAAAATCGGGATGGGGATGGAGGGTAATAGGAGTATAAGAAAAGACCCAAAAATTGGGACTGTCCCTATAAAATCTGGACATCTGGTCACCCTAGACTGGGGAAGACAGCAGACCTGCAGCTCCAGGAGAGAAGAGCTGAGGGAAGGCAGAAATCTCTCCCGAAGCCACTGCCCAAAGGCCCTCCCTGAGGAAAGGACGACCCTGTTGCAGAGACAGTCTTAGAGGGAAACATCGCCTGCCCCCTCCTTCTCATACAAACTCTGGACTTAGTTAATCCCCTTTATTTTTGTTTGGAATACCCCAGCGGGGGAAAGCTCTAGGCCCGAGCCAGCCCAGGAGGTTGGGCCGTACCACATGAGGAGATTGTCTCTTGGGCGGAACTAAGAGAGCGACCTTGCAACACGCTGCCACCAGAAGATGTCTTGTGTTGAGCGGACACACTTCATGGAGCTTTAACCCAGACTGTGACCTTGGGACAATCATGGCGGGAGGGATAGAAAGTGGTCCAGAGAGGGCAGCCTTAAGCTTCCCTAGCTGTCAGATCACGGATAGCCCTGAAAGGGCCCTGAGTTGGAGCCTGGTGGAGTGGGGGGGCCTGGGCTCCCCTACCGACAACCCCCTGCAAATCACAGGTCTATGCCCTGACCACTAGGCAATGATCCCCTACCAACCACCCTATTGAGTACTGTCTCCAATCCCAATTGCCCATTTATAAAAAGAGTCATGTACTGCCAAACACATTTTTATTTCAGAGTATTCCTTTTTAGGTTAATTAAAAAAAAATAAAAAAAAAAAAATCTCAGAGCCTCAGCTATACCGTAAAATGGTTAGTATTAGACTTCTTAGCCACTAGTTTTCACTTGCCATCCAGACAACACAGGTCATTCCAACATACAGCAAAATAAGGTGTGACTTTTCCATGTTACCATAGCAAACAGACCTTATGTCTAATGTTGCTTATCCCCTTTGCTATTAGTAATTCCAGACACTGTGAGGAAAGTAGTTGTGCGTACAAGAGAAATTTTGCATATTAATATGGAGAGCAAACCATAAGGTATTCTGTAAAAAATAATACAGGCTAAGTAGGGTTTGTGTGCTGGGATTTTCAAATTTAACACCAGTTATTTCCACCAACCCAATACACGGCTAATTGCCAAGTGTATATAGGCATAATAGGGGGTCTGTTAAGCAAACAAATTAATGTGACCTGGGAGGGCTGAACAATTTTCTTATTCACCAAAGAAATTAATTCCCAAACATGAAAAGTTACATGGAGTCTGTGCTGATGTGTTAAATACTAGAGATGGGGAAATAATGCAAATAGTTATCCATAAATATTCATTCAGAAATTTAAAAGAATCCATTTCACACATCCATGCCATTTCTGTTTGCATAAGGCAAACTTTCAAGTGATCAAGTCTTCCTAGGAAGATGATTAACAGAAACATATCTGAGTCACATGTGCAAGTACATGTGGAAACCATATTTTGAAAGTAACACATAGGTTTTCATGTTGCAAGACTTACTCATCCAGGGAGCAGAAACAAGACAACTTCTAACCTGTCACAAGACCAGTTTAAATTCAGATTAATAATTGATCCATGCAGTTCATTATTTAAGATTTGTCCAATAAATTCCAAAAGCCGATCAGAGTACAAGTTGTTTGTGTATATTCTGTTATCAAGAGGGACTAGATAAAAATAAATTACTCAGTTAGCGCTATTACATATTGAAATGGAAGGCAGCTATGCACATGGCTGACTGGACTAATAGTGAGATCTTTATCCTTCTATTGAGACTAGCATAGATCAATACTGTGAGACTTAAAAGTAGGATAATGTTTTTTTAATTAATTATGAAGACCCAAAAAATCAAGGATGTAACATTCAATGTTAGAAGAGGCTTGAGATGAAAAGATGTTATGTGAAGTGTTAGCTTCATGTTGCCACTAACATTTCCCAATTTGAAGTTTTGATGAGTTGGAGAAGCAAAAGAGAAAAAAAACCCTGAAACACCCAACATAACGTTCATTTTATTATAGCAGAAAAGGAAGAAAAAAGGGGTCAAGAGCGGAAAAAAATGAAAAATAAAATTTGTTTTAAAGTTTTGAAAAAATACAAAGAAAGTGAAAAACTTCTATTTCCAACCTAGCAAATGGAAACATCAAAGTGTCACAATCATTCTTCCATTTTTTGACAACCACTAGGTTTGTGGCTAAGGCACACTGGTGGGACTAGTGTGGAGAAACTTGTTTTATGTTCGATGGATGAAGAGAGGACTTGATCCTACAATGAGCAGAGATTAATTCACTTCACCCCTCCCCCCCACCCCAAAAACAAACAAACCTCCAACCCTAGGCTGTATTGAAGTAACAACATTTTTTGCACAGTTTCTAAAAAAGAGTAATTTCCAAATGTGAACAGTAACGTACAGCTCTACTTCAGGAATACAAAAATTCTATTCTCTATTTCTACTTTATATTCAGTTACATAAAGGCTAATTTAATCTTTGGTGTGATTTAGAGTACACTGATGACTCACCAAGTTACACCAAGGAAGAAATTAGAAATTTGCAAGTACCAAAGTACCAAAAATAACCATGCTATTGTATCTGCTATCTATTTCTCTTTCAATCTGTAACAAAGCTTTGCTCAAAAGTTTACTTAACTACATTTCCTCTACTTACTTTAAACTGCTAAGCTGTCTCTAAACTAAGCTGTTTTCAGCTATGGAAAATCTTTCCCTTGGAGGACCTACTCAGATGTCTCATCAGGTTGATAACTGGCATGATTGTTGAGCCATTACTTAATCATCACTGCAAACACTGATACACAACAGTGTAAGGCCTAAGGATTCTGCCCTTTGGTAGGTCAATACATATGACATGAAGGTATAGAATAAAAGTGAATGATCCTGCATTCTGGCATTTTTATTTCTACATGTCAGTAGTTATCTGCCAACAGAGGGTGATATATTACCATTTGTAATGCAGCAACACCTAGAGAGCCCAGCCAAGATTCCCATTATGCCAGGCATCATGCACAGTAAGAGAGAACCCCTGCCCCAAAGAGCTTACAATTCTAGACAAGACAGCAAGTGTTATCCCCAGTTTATGGATGAGCAACAGGCACACAGATAAAGCAGACCTAGATACATGGTGAAACCCTCCATCTGGTGGCTGAATTTACCATGCCCATGTCATGGATATTACTGTAGCTCTTTGGAGTGGGACTCTTTATAGTCCCTAAACAACAGTTCTATGAGAAGCAAAACACAACCACCTCTGGCTAAGCCACTGGATCAGTGCTAGATTTGTCTCATTTTGAAAAAAGAACAGGAGTATTTATGGCACCTTAGAGACTAACAAATTTATTTGAGCATAAGCTTTCGTGGGTTACAGCCCACTTCATCAGATGCATAGAA